TGCATAATTTTTTTAGTGGAATGAGATGGGTTTTTTCATTAATATTTAAATGAGTTTAAGAGAAGATTAAGCCAGGGGTCTTATGCTTTTGAAAAAGTGCTGCTTCGTTCGATACCTGGTCCTTTCGATATCAAGAAGTCGGACAATGAGAACCCGATCTACTTTTTTTGCCAATTTTTCTTCTTGAATCATGGTATAAATATGTACATAATTCTTTATTTGCATATGATTTATATTGACTTTTTCCGTTTCTTGTTTTATTTCTTTTTCCACTTTTTTGCATGGGATCCGCAAGCTTATTTTCTTGTAATACATTCTTACATTTGAAGTTCGTGTACATGGCACTGTGCCGATAAGCCCATCGTTTATTGATCTTAAACAGTTTTGGAAAAGTGTTTTTTTATCAGGATGGGTCTGCTATTCAGGAGAGGAGAAACTCCTTTTAGGGGATAGTAGTTTTTGTACATTTTCTGTTCTAATTTGGTGCTGTTGAAAAGGGGCGAAAGGAATAGCCTGAATGTAAACGGAGCAATAAATCAGTTTATGATTCATGAAAGTGTTAGGGTTTGTATGAATTTTTTTATTTTGATTTCTTTTCGGAAGGTTTCAGTTTAGGGGTTTGTAGAAAAAAGAACATATTTTGTAATGGTTGAATTTTTCGTTTGAAAATAGGAAAGGAAGCTGCAGGTTTGGAAGGCTAATGTTTTAAAGTGGTTCATCTAGTGTTTGTCAATCATACTTCTAAAGTTTTACTAACCTTTCAGTGCTAAATAATTAGCATGAAGCTTGAGCGGTATAAGGTATTTGGTTTAAAAACTGCAAAGAATACATGTTAATAAGAAATTTTTTAACACGCTGGCAATTGTTTTAGGTGCCGGTGGGCCAAATTAGAAGCCAAAAAAAAACAAGAAATTGTTTTGGTCTTACACGTAGAGAACGCAAAAAACTACATCTTGTTAATTGTTCAACAAATTTTTTTAAACTGAATAATGGTTTTAGTTTACTTGTAATACATTTAACTAAAATTTCTATTGAGAATGTTTATGTACTGTTTTCTGTGGAGCTAGTTAGGTAAAACTGTACAGCTTTCTGAGATTGGTGGCAATTATTGATAAGGATTTTAGATTCCAATTTTAAGTAGTTGTTCAAATACTGTTCAAAAATAAGAGTCCGAAAAAAGTGCTAAAAGTAATGGTGCACTAATTGATGGGCGGATCGAGTTAATTATAGCCCAAACAATAGCACTGGTTAAGAAAATTTGTGGAAATACTGGATGTTTTCTGAAGTGTAAAAATATTTCAGTAAATTGGGTATTTTGAGTTTGTAGTGTGCTCTGGCAAACCTTCTGAGAACATTAACGTTGGAACGTTACTGATGATAACACCGCATTGGCAAAATAGAACAGATTATCGGTATGCTGATTGTTCTTCTGTTTCAAAAAACCGCACCATGATAGGTTCTTCGAAAACTAAGTTGAACTTGAGGTTATCACCTGTTATCGGTTTATTGCGGGTTTTTTTTTACTCTTGGAAGTATCACTTTAAGATGTTATAAATTAAATGACAAAGTGGAATTTGAATTACGAAGTATTAAAACGGCTAATGTTAGGGTTCTGACAGGAGAATTAGATTTTGTCAAAACTGTTGAATATTTTTTTTTTCTCGACAGAGTTATTATCAACTCTTTCATACTGTTTCAAACTGTTTCCTAAAATTTAACACTTACTTTGTAGTGTTCTTAAGTTTGATATGACAACAAGTTGTGATCACAGAGTTGGTTTTTATTGCTGGTCATTTTTACAGATCACAAATACAGTAACATTAAAACGGCATAGATTTACAGTTTCTCTGAACAGAACAATTCTTTCCTTTCTTTTTGTTTTCGGAAATCTATGATTACAAAATTTATTAGAAAACAACAACTTTAGTTAGGGAGGATTTAGATGGAAAACAAAAAAAACAAAAAAAATTTAACATTTAAATATTTGCTGAGACATCACAGTGATCAGGAAGGCGCCTAATTTGATGTATCAGTGGTTTTTTTACCGGTTTTATGCGATCAATATGCTCATAAAAATATTATGCAGATATTATGATAACAGTAGAATATTCAATGATAGCAACAATAAATTATAGAAATGTTGAATATGAGGAAACCCGTCTATAGCTTCATTTGCTTCATTTTCTTTTCTCTTTCGTTTTCTCTTAATTTTCACCTCTTTTTTTGTTTTTTATTGTTTCTTTAGT